GAGAATGTTGTACTCAGTAACAGCCACGTTGTGGGATGACTGATTTTGATAGACTTGGCTCTTCACGGCAATGCAATGATCAAAGACAATTCCAAAAGATTCATGAAGGTAAATGCTATCCACATCCAGAGAAAGAACTATGGAGTCTGAATGTAGATCGAATCATATTTTGACTTTTTTTATTGTTTGTTTTTTCTTTCTTGTGGTTTTCCCTTTTTGTTCTGATTCTTTTTGCACAACATGACTAATGTCGAGGTGTGTTTAACATGATTGTACATGTATAACCTATATCAGATTGTTGCTTAAGGAGGGTGGGAGGGAGGGAGAAAAATTTGGAACTCAAAATCTTATAAAAATGAATGTTGAAAACTGTGTGTAATTGGAAAAAAGAAAATACTATTAAGTGGGGGAAAAAGATCATCAATCCAAGTGCTTGACTGAGGAGTAAAGAAAATAATTAAATTGCTGTCATTTGGGTTAAATCAGACTTCAGACTAGCAACTGTGGTAAAAAAAAAGTGGGGCAAGGGTGGAGAGGTGGTAGTAGAGAATTGTGTACAGAGGGCAAGATGTCAGAGTCAGATTTTCTGAAACTGAGATATCTTGCAATCACTGAAGCAAGGGAAATGATCAAGCAGTTGAGGATGAAAGACATGTAATCCCTCACTTCAAGGTTAATGGAAGACAGTTTCTAATATGGAATCCTTATGCTAAGCTTGACTTTATGTAAATGTCACAGCATTAGTGTTTCTAAAAGAGGGTATTTGTTAATTTACATAGATCACTTCATTGCATCACCAACATGACCAGCTGCCTGCTGTGTGCAAAGCGCGCAAGTGCTTGGGATAGAAAAGGTTTCTACAAATAACAACTGTTCCAAACCTTTTCTTCTCTCCATGTACCCAAATGACCTAGCTTCCCATTTCACTAAAGAAAACTGAGGTCAACCAACATGAGCTGTTCTCTATTTCTCATAACTTCTCAGTGTCATTACCTACTCTGTTTGTCTGAAAAGAAGAGATATAGCCAATTCTTATCAAAGTTAATCTTCTACCTGGACTCTTGACATTCAGGTTTCCTTAATCCTAAAAACCCTTTTCTTGATTCTTCATTCTTATTTACTTTTTGTCCCAGTTTTCTTTTCCTCTTCCCTGCTAAACTCTGTTGAAGTTGTGTACGTAGGGAAGCCAAGAGCAGGTATTGAGTATCATCAGGAAGATCTAGAGAGGAGTTGGCAAAAGAGGGGAAAAAAGTTGTTTACACCTAAATTCCCAGTGTTTCTACTTTTCACTACCTTCTTTTTCCTCATTCCCTTACAGTGTGGCTTCTGTCTTTACCACTCTACTGAAAGTGCTCTCAGAAGTCACTGGTCAGCTCCAAATCACCAAATCACAATGGCCACATCTGGAGCCTAGGATACAGACAGCATTTGCATACCTTTGCTACCTCTAGGGTATGGCTGCTTCTCCTTTGACCTCTTTCAGCCCCGCAGTATCCCAAGTACCTTGACATTTTCAGCCCTCTTCCTCCTTAAGCTCTGTAGCTTTTGACACTACTAATTGCCCCCACCTTCCACCTCTTCCACTTTCTTTCAGATAATCTCTCTTCCCTTAAATTCAGAGACATCACACAGTGGTATTTACTTCTGGTATTTTCCTATCATGCCAACATTCTTTCTTTTTTAAAGTATATTTTTATTGATATCTTTTTTTTTGCAGCACCAATTTCCCTAACACATGCCTCACTTTTCCCTTTCCCAGAGTGCCATCCCATGTAACAAAGAATAAAAGTGGGGAAAAACCCCACAATTCAGCAGAACTATCCAAATATGGAAAAAGACTGGTATCTGTAGTATTCCACATCCATAGTCTCCCACTTCTGCAAAGAAAGGGAGATGCATATGTATATGTGTGTATAGGTGTATATGTATATATACATATATGTATATGAGTATATACAATTATATGTGTATATGTAGTATATTATATTTATATATTGCATAGATTGGTGTATATATATGTATGTATGTGCATACATATATATGTATATACACACTATATATATTGGTATATGTGACGAAGCTAGGTCATTATAACATGGTAGTATTCACTTTCAATTAGCTGATCTTTTTCTAGCTCATTATCCTTTTCCTTATCCTTTAATGTGATTGTTTCCCAAGGGTCTGTCCCTGACTTTCTTCTCTCTCTGCATTCTTCCTTGGCAATATCATTTATTTCTATGGTGGTTTCAACTACCATCTCTAAGCAGATGATGCCTAAGTATTTCTGGCCCTGCCCTATCTTCTGAGATGGAGACGCAGATCTTCTCTACCTATCTCCAGGACATCTTTACCTGGATGTCCATTGGCAAGCTCATACTTAACATCTAAAACTCATCTCATTATGCTCCTCCCTGAGCCTGCTTCTCCTTCTGACTTCACTGTGGCAACACAGCTCAAGTCATCTCCCATATTTGAAACCATGGATTTATCTGAACTCTTCTCTCTCCTCTCTTCTCATATCAATCAGTTACCAAGTCCTAACAGTAACAAATATTAAATGCCTACTGTAGAGAAGGTTCTGGGAATAGAAAGACAAAAACAAGTTCCTACCCTCAAGGAGCTTATATTCTTCTAAGGGGATGCAACATGAACATCTGGTGAGTATTTTGTAGTATAGGGAGTGAAAAAGGTAAAGGACAGATCAGATAAAGTCCTAGCTAGCATGGTGTCATGGACAGGGCACTCTCCTTGGAGACAGGAAGAACTGAGTTCGTATTTCATCTCAGCCACTTACTAGCTGTGTGACTCTGGGCAAATCACTTAACTTCACTGTGCCTCAGTTTCCTCATTTGCAAAATGAAAGTATTGGACTTGATGGCCTCTGGATCCTTCCCAGATCTAAACTGATGATCCAGTGAGGAAGAAGAGAGCACCAATAGCTGGAAGAATCAGGGAAAGCTTCACAGGGGAGATGGCACCTAAGCTGAGCCTTGAAAGAAAATATGGATTCTGGGGGCAGCTAGGTGGTGCAGTGGATAAAGCTCCGGCTTTGGAGTCCAGAGGACCTGAGTTCAAATGTGACCTCAGAAGCTTGATACTTACTAGCTATATGACCTTAGGCAAGTCACTTAACCCCGATTGCCTCACCAAAAAAAAAAAAAAAAAAAA